ATAACCCAATGCTCAAAACTTCATCACACCATAATATATTACATGTTATATTACATGATGAATTTTAGTTTTCGGTGATAAATTTCTTTGCAGATTAGTAATATTAAAAAATTTGTCTCACATAATGAAAAGGTTTTCCAAAAATATCATGTTTTTCATCATTATTCTATACTTGTTTATGGATATATTGTTGAATTGAAAACTAGTACGCTTAATAGTAAATTATTCTTACTTTATGAGATTTAGAAGCCAGTTCTTTTGAAAGATATAAAAAATTATTTCAAAGGTCAGTTAAAAATTAAGTTAGAAATCCAAAAACTCTGAAATTTTATTCTTTTACTGAATTTATGATAATCTTTTCCAAGCAAAAATTATGTATATTATTTCTATAATAAAATCGATCTTTACCTAACTTGATTAAAAATATTGTGGTATTGCGTGGAAGGTACATTTAAATGGTTTTATATTCCCCCTTTTTTTTTGTTAGATTAAATCTTAAAATTTAATTTTTTGATTTTATTCTTCAAAAAACCAGTCTTCCAACCTGATTTTTTAGAATAATTCCTATTTCCTATTTGAAATTGGCAATATAGGAATATTTTCAAAATTTGAAAATTTATTTAATTAGAATTGAATTACTTTTGCATAACCTCAGTTAGTGGTGAAACTAATTAACGCAATGTTTTTATCTTCATTCTGTATTAAAAAAAAATCTGAATGAAAGACATTTGGATTTTTTGAATTTATTGAATTGTGCTGATTTTTCAAAATTTAATACCTATCCTGCAGTTGCTAACGCTGTAAAAAAAGAAATGACACCCAATACATTTTTTAAAAGGAATAAATTTTCTGTATTCAAAATGCATGATTTTTATTTAGTATTTTTTCTGCATTTGTTAGGATAACATGATGAAATAAAAGATTTAATATTTTTTTAAACTTATATAATTGTAATGAAATGCATTAAAAAAATTAGCTGTTATAATGTGTCAACATTTATTTTGTTTTTTTATGTATTTTATAATTGCTTACTTAATTTCACAATATTAATAAAAGTGCATTAAAACATGCTATTGGTTAATGGTTAAAGTGTGAAAATTAAACAAAGAATAAAGCCAAAACAATCAACATATGTGGCTGCTTAATTCATAGCTTTCTTTACAATTAAAGTCCCCCCCCATCTGACATTATTACTCAGCAAAAACAAGTCAGAGAAAATGCTTCATACAAATGTCACTGATGCTGCTTACAGCCTAGACATCATTTGTATGTTGAACTACCAAGAGAATATATTTTCTCCTATATTTGCTGTGGTTTGCTTAAATGCATCCTGCCTTGAATAAGAGGAGGGATACTTAATTATAAATTAGACTCAGTTTAGCTCTTCATATTCAAACCTTAATAGTAGTCCATGTTTGTGTGATAACAAAAATCTACAGTACATTGCATCAGGGTATCTATTATCATTGACAATAAACTTTGTGCCATTTGTGTTGCTATAACTCATGGAAAGTTAACAGGTGTAGTATTTGACAAATCATGACTAATGATTTTGATAAATTAAAATACACATATTTACCCAGATGGTATAGTGGTTAGCGGAGCTTAATGCAAGACCAAGGGGCCGGGTTCAAATCCCAGAGAAGGCATGGATGTCTGTAAATGTATATTGTCTTTGCAGCATGGGAGTATTCTAAACATATGGCAAGCCAAAAGTCCTTGTGGTTTGGTGGTAGGGGAGAAGGGTGAGAGACCCCTCCCCAAGGTGCTGTTCCTCAAAATTGGGGTGGAATGTAGAAGTCCAACCTATGTGAGGCTCTGGCAACCATTCTTCCATGAAATTACATGGACAAGACAACAACAACATATATATACATGAATATAAAAATTGTGTTATGTTGTCATGTTGATTTATTATTAATCTAGGTAAAATTATTTGTTCAGTTTTATATACAACACATGCTCAATATGATTGAAAAATATATAAATTTTCTATAATATTTGACCATATTTATATACTGGATGATATGCATAAAAATGTTTGTGTGTATGCAGAAATCTTGAGAAAAAGTGGCTTAAATATTGGTTTTATATTTTGAGTTATTTAAATTAAAACGGAAAATTTTATGAAAATAATGATTGTAAATGGTGGTCATTTTATATAAAAAAAATTCATTTACCTCACAGAATAAAAATTCTGGTCAATAAAATATTCACTGGACTTATTCACTAGTTTAAAGAAGGAAGAGGGCAAGTAACATTTTCAAGATAGTTTTGAATTTATTAATTTTATTCATTTTATTATGCTTATTATCAGCTTAAATTCAAGATTAGAGAACAAATTTTGTTGAGCTACAGAAAGGCACTGCTATATTTGAGATATTAATATCGCTGCATCAAGTAAAATAGTATTCATTATTAACTGTTTCCTTTATTTTTTATCAAAATTTTTATTAATCAGTAATTTTGTATGGATTTTTTATTTTTTTAATAAATTAAAATATAGTGAAATTTTACTAATAGGATTTTTACTCTTAGGGGCCATATAAAATTTTCTTCTGCAGAACATTTCCAATATAGTAAAAGTAAATAAATATTGTATTGCATAAAAGTATTACATCTTAATTGCAATACTTTTATAAGTAAAATAAAAAAGCATCACAGAGTATTGCATCTTAATTGAATAAACTTCATAATTAAAAGTATATAAGATTAATATTTAAAAGGCTGCTATTCCTTTTTTAAACGTCTTGTGCACACAGTGAGTCTCAAAAACATACTAAAATTTTTGCGTAATCAAACTAAACAATGAGTGTGGCTGCTGAATAAAGTTCTATCTGTTGGGAAGCATGAAAATCACGAATTTTGTTTGAAAAATATTATTAAAATTGATTAGATATAAAATTTATTAGTTATCTTTGAAATAGATAATGTAATAATATTAGTGTGTCTGTATGTGTACTTTTCAATGTGATATGTTAAAATTAGTACACATCATGTATTTTTCTCCTTCTGGTTTCCAAACAGTAAAATTAATAAAAAAAAAAGGGGGGAGAAATGTGTCAGTAAATGAGGTATTTAAAGAAAAATTAAGCTGTTCTTCTAAAGCATTGTGATGCAGTTTTTGTTCGCAGATTTTTTTTTTTTTTTTTTAATTATTATTTGTTGAGGAGAGAGTAACCCATGAAATAGACTGTTACATGCCTGTTAATTTGTTCAATCAATATTAGGCAATAAACCTTGATTGAATGAATTAAGATCATTCTTATAAGAAAGTAGCAGTTGATCCATACCATGATTTTAGCATCACCAGCAGTTTTGTTACGATATCCTTAAGGGATTTAAGAGATCAGTATTTTTGGTTCTTTGCTAATTTCTCCCTTAAAAAAATAAATGAAAAATAAAAGATTCTTCATTCAGAATCCTTTTTGAAAATGCAGGATTCGCATGAATTTCATACAGAACACGTACTGAAAACAAACTATTTGTTCTTGTGTAACATTTATACAATCCAAATTCAGTTAACATCTCTTTCTATGGTTACCTTATGCATACTATAGTGAAGAAAGACATTTCACAAAAGTAGCTAAATTTGCAGTGGTTATTTCTTCATTTGTTGCAGTTTTCTGCTATTCACTGCACTGCTTGTCATACGCTGTTTTCATTTAAATTAAATTTTATTAGCAATTTCATTACAGCATTCACAAATAGTGACAAATTTGTTATAGCTATGGTTTAAATCATCAGCAATAACATAGATCTTTTTTTATAAAAATTCAGTTTTAAACCATCTACACCAGGGGTTCTCAAGCAGTGGTACGCAAAAGAAAAATAGGTGGTACGCGAAGAAGCAAAGTATTTTTAACTATTAAATTCAAAATTTAAAAACCCAACATCCTGACTCTGTTTTTTTCTCTAACACTCGTAAATTTATGCAATCTGAGCTTTATTTAAGAGTGGTGGTGGTAGTAGTACTTTGTATTGGTGGTACTAAATGTTTTCAATTTTTATTTAGATTGTACATGTTAGTCAAAAGGTTGAGAATCGCTGATCTACACCATTCCTCCTGAATCAAGAAAAAATAACCAATTAATGATAACTCCTTAACAAAACAAAGAGCTATTATATAAGTTATTACTTTACAATTTCCTTACAATTGCTTTCACAATAGGAAAAGAACCTGGAATGTGCCTAAATGCCAAAAAGTCATAAAATTCATCAAATGCATTAGGATTTAGGGGCATAAAATGGAACAAATTGTAATTTAAAATGGTAAATAATCAGTAATGATATTTTAATACTTTTTTAAAAAATGTTAACACTATAATTTAAATTATTAACCGTGAGGTTAACTTAAAACATTAAAAAATTCTCAAATAAAATATTGTAGAACATCTATATGCTTGGCAGCATTTAATCACACTATGGCTTCTTTAATGATACCAAATCTTACATGTTTTTGTTTCTCTGCTTGACTAGCATTGTTTAGATGGAAACATTCTAATTTACCGTATTTGACAGCATATAAGACACACTTTTTTTCCTAAATTTGGTCTCAAAAAAGTTATCTGCGTCTTATATGTGAAGGACACAGGTTAACTTTCAATACTGAATGCTATTTTTAGCCCGGATAAAGATCTAGACACACATAACTTTTTCTACATCTACATGTGTGTGGCCTTCTAAATAAGGGTGTGTCTTATATGCCGTCAAATACGGTAAGTCAGTATATCGCATTACCTCCCAACAGGTAACATTTTCTAATGCATTCAATCATTGAATCTTGTATTTTGTTTGAGATTTCAACTGAAAAGATGGTAAATGATATAGGAATTGCAACAGCATTAATTAGTAAATTATTTCTTCACATTTACAAAACAAAAGCTTTTCCAGACTGAGTTTTATTTCATATATATTAGACTTTATGCAATAAATTAATGTATCATTTTATGTCACAATATTAATTCTTGTATCATTAATATGTGATTTTTCTTTTTCAGTTTACAACAGGAAGCATTTGCCAAGCATAATTTAACTATCGTACCCGGTAGCAAGTTAGTTCTGTTGTCTGACCTCAAGAACAGTTTATATCAACTTAGGTTTTTATTGGTTGAGAAAGAGAAGCAAAAAGAGAAACACTGTGACATTGGGACAGCTGAATTACCTTTATCAAAACGTTGGTGTGGTAATGCTCGTGAATGCTGAGCATTGCATCATTCCTTTCGCCACTGGCAGTTTTTCTCACAGAGACAGAGAGAATGATTTCATTTTATGTTTCCATGTCAGCTAGCAACCAAAAGTCTTAAATATGAATCTCATTTGTTAATTCAGTTCCATTCATTTGTAGTCTGTAAAGTATTATTAACAAAGAAGCCAGTGGCAGATGTGTGTGTGAATCCCACCTCATATTTTAGAACTACCATGCGTGCAAATTTTAATCTATTTTTTCATGTTATCGATTATGTTGATACTGCATTTACTGTACATAGATGTGTTAGTGTTAATAATGCAGAAAGACAAAAGTAAATTAAATATGTTGTGATTATGACTAGTTTTGTCTCTTCGTTTCATTTGACATTAAATTATTAAAAATTCTAATTTGTGACCATGCAGTTAACATATTACTGAAGGAAGTGAAGTAATTATTTATTTATATATATTGCAGTAAAATAACTGATGGTTTTGGCAAACCAAAAATGATTGCAACATCAAACATGGATGAAACTTTAGCCTATGAAAGATTATATACATTTTATTAATTTTAAATGTTTTCATATTCTAGTTTAATTTTTTTAATACTACAGTTGCTCCTTCAGATATGCAATGCTTGTGTGACTTTATGCTTACTATACGGGTTACATACATACCGCAATCTGTCTTGTTGCAGTATATGTCAGACATTACAAAAATACTGTTTTTCAGGAATTATTAAGTACTAACCTTCATTGCTTAAAATGTTCATTCATTGAGATTTTTCAGCTATTGATTTCTTGGTTGTAATAAATTACTGAAATTTAATGTTATTTCATAATACAGACATTATGTGTAAATAAACATTAATATACAACATTACTAAATTTAAGTGTTGCATCATGTTATGAAGCATTTTATTGTATAGGTAAAATATATTGTTTTAAAATAATTTCATTTGCTAAATTATTTTTCAATTTATATAAATTTTAGGGCCAAATATAAATTCCAAAACTATTTATGCCTGCCAAAGTGACATGCATTTAATCTAGTATTGTTCATACACATATTGTGTAGATATTACATGTATGTGATTTGTAAACAGAAACTGTCTGTTAGTAATAGTAAAAATAAATTAAATTTTTTTTAATACACAAATTTTGTTTACTATGTGTTGATAGTATTCTGTACAAACATATTTTTAATTGTGACTCGAAATACAAATATATTTCAATGTTTTTGTCAACAGTCTTGATCATGATCATTTATAGTTTGTTCAGATCTTCAAGTAAACCATGTTGTTTAGTATAAGTACAAGCAATTAAGGCCCTGGTTCGAAATAATACCAAGCTAGGCCACTAATGTAAAACATTACAGGTTAGGTGCTCTGTTAGCACATACAAGATGGAATGAGCAAACACACCATAGGTTCGCTGCATATCGCTTCAACTACTAATTGAACTTAATTTGGCTCCTTTCACAAGAGGATGCTGAACCTGGAGGGCACTACATTAAATTCAACACACGTGTTATTTTCTTTTTTCATGTAAATGTTAATTTATGATCGATCACCTACAATTCTGTAGTCAAGAGAAGAGCTTTCAGTATGCCACTAGTTAGCAAATTTTCTTTTTTTAAACAGAAATGTTAAAAATGTTTGATTTACCTAGAAGTGAGGAGTATGTACACTGTGCAAAAAAAGGGGGAACAGTTCTGTATCTCCTGTTCTACTGGGCCGATAGACAAAATTTAAATTGTGTTTTTCATGTCTCGAAAGCGCGACTTAGTATATACGAGGGCAGATCAAAAAATAAGTTGCACTTCCAAGTTATGACCATTTATTAAATTGTCGATACAAAAGCAACACGGCTGACAGCATACAATTAAGTTCACTTTTCCACATAGTTCCCAAGAGACTAAACATTTCTCCGAATGGACAACCAACTTTTCGATTCCGGATGCATAGAAATCTCCTCCAGTGCTATGTAACCACACTGAGACAGCTTCTCATCATTTTGGAATCGTTGTCCACGAAGATGGTGGACCCACGTTTCACCCCCTGTGATGATTCGCCTTAAAAACATGTTGCCCTCTGCAGAAGATTGTTAAAAATGCCAGTGAGGAATCGAAATGTTGTCTACCGTGATCATTAGTGTAAGGACCCATCTTTGACACAGTTTACAAAATCCAAGGTCCTCGTGAACAATGGAGAACACTTTGCCATATAAAATATTTAGCATGCTGGAAATTTCCCGCAGTTTTATGCGCCGATTCTCTCTAATGATCGCTTCCACATGGCCAACATTTGGAAATGTACCGGACATTACAGGCCTCTCTTCACAATATTCGTGCGATCCTGATATTCGTCCATGTGACCTTCATGTTTTCAGTAGGCTTAAAAAGGATCTCCATGGACAACAATTCTGAAATGAGGAGGAGGTGAAAGCAGCTATCTTCGTGTGGTTACATAGTGCTGGAAAAGTTTTCTATGCATCCGGAATCGAAAAGTAGGTTGTCCATTCGAAGAAATGTTTAGAGTCTCTTGGGAACTATGTGAAAAAGTTGAACTTACCTTGTATGCTGTCATAGCCATTTTCCTTTTGTATCGACAATTTAATAAATGGTCATAACTTGGAAGTGCAACTTACTTTTTGATCTGCCCTTGTATATTAAATTTATATATAGCATTATTCTAACATAGATAATTTGACACAAAAAACAGACTTTTTTTTTAATGGCATGCCATTTTTTCCCCATATTTTGATTCTATGGCTCAAATTATGTCTAAATATTAAATTTTGTAAAATACAGTGTGAAATTAATGGAAAAATTCCAAAATATATCTTACCGTAATTTTTTCAGTTTGCGCCAAGAATAATTTACTTAGCGAAGTTATTAATTTATACCAACCTATTTTCCTTTTTTTCATTGCAGATGAGCGGAAAAAAAGTCATCGTTTATATTTTAAATAATTTTAACATAGTGTGTATACCACATTTGGCATTATTATTGCTATAAAAAAAATGGATGCAAATTTCAAAATGTAGCATGTGTAAATTCATGTATATCTTGGATAATTTTGAATAACAAACTCTACTTTTTTGCAGGAGGACATAGAAATACATTTACTTTAAGATGATGTTAAAAATTTTATAGATTATAATAAAAAATGTTTTTGAAAAATTTATAAAAAAATATTTAAAAATATAAATTTAAAAATAAATAGTAAAAAATGGGTGAATTTTATTTGGAATGAACCTAAATTTTGAAATGTGAAAGGAAGAATCAAAAAAGTTTAATAAAAAAGAGATATTAATAAATATACACCAAATTCAATTAACATTAAGGAGCTAAAATTTTTAGAGCTAATTTTTTAAGAATTTTTAAAACCTATATATGGGATTTTTATGAAACTTGGCAGTTTGGCATAATTTGAGTCTAGAACCAAAATATGAAAAAAAAATTGGCATGTCTTTTAAGAAAAAGTCAAGATTTTGTGTCAAAATACCTATGTTAGAATAATGTTGTATAAAAACCTAACATATATCCTAAGTCGCACTTTCGAGACGTGAAAAGCGTAATCTGAATTTCGTCAATCGGCCCAATAGAACAGAAGATATAGAACTATCTCTCTCTCTCTCTTTTTTTCTTTTTTTCTTTCTTTTTTCCAGTGGACCTTTCTTCCAAGAAACACAATTTTTATATCACATCTGAATACGCAAAAATGACCTTTAAATAAATGAATGAAAGCATTTTGAGGTACAACAAGTAGAGCTGAAAATAAAGGAAAACCACATGTTTTGACAACTGTTTTAGTGGTTTCCGAACACTTTGTAACAACGGAACAGTTTGGAAAACAGAGGAGCTGAAATCAATTAAGTAATGAGAGAAGCAACTCAGCCATTATGGAAACAAAACTATTAACTGGAGCATTTTATGAGATAGATGTATTTTCTACTTCCAGTCCAACGACACTTAAAAAATTAAGAATATAAATGAAAATCTGGGCATGAGCTATGCATGAGAAGAAAAACAAAGCAGGTACGTTTCTTCCACAATACTGGATATTTCACAGGTTGTGCTGAGAAACTTGGATTTTTCTTGCTTATGCTTCGAAGAGAGAAGCAACAATACTCATGGCAAAAATTGCCAAGAGTGAAGTAGAGGGATCAACTGTTTATTTAGACTGTTGGCAAGCATATAAAACAGAAAAACTGAAAAATGCAGGCATCTGACATTTTACTGTGAACCATAAAATTTCATTTTGTTGATCCAACAGCTGCTGGTACATGGAATGTTGAAACTGTGATGCTCCACAAAGTAGCTAAATAAAAATCAGTAAGGTATAGTTTGCTATCATCATCAGTCATACCTTGCAGAGGAAAATTTTTCGAACAAGAAAATGCTTCTGATGCCAGCATGGCATTTAAACGATATGAGCATAATATGATGAAGTACCCAATTAAGATTGTTAACAAAAAAGCATGATACTTAAGCTATAATGCTGTATTCAAGTTGTCTGCATGCAGTGCATCTCATAATTGTTGTTCCCAATACAACAGCAGTGAGATTCTGAGAGAGCTTACTAGCCATTATTTTTCCAAGGAATTGTGCATTAAATTCATGATTAGATAAGGAATCGTGCATTTTTTTATGTTCTGTAAGCACAATAAGCCTTAGATAGCCTTGCTTAGTGATAGCAACCGTAATTTGGAAATGGTGCTATAACCTGGGAATACCATCATTCAAAACACTTCTAATCATCAAATGGCCTTTTCTGGACACTGAAAACCCACCAGCTGTCTATCTCAATCCATCTTCTAAACTAGGGATTCCCAAACTTATATTCTTTCATCGACCCTTTTTAAAAGAATAGTTTTCTTATCCCTCTGTTGGCTCAAACTTTTTATCAAAACCCCTTAAAAAATTACACATACTTTTATTATGTATTTGAGAATTAAAATAGCTCGGTTTTTCAGGCTTCCATAAAAATCCATTTTAAGAGCAATCTTATGAAGAAAAGCATTCTGAGAGTAGTAAATCTTAATTAGATTATGATTTACTTATAGAATACAAATGTAAATTATTATATTCAAGTATTCAATATTTACACAAATTGCTTTAGAAATTAAGTTCAGTATGGTAAATTTCAAAACAAGCTTCTAGGCAAAGTTCTACTTCACAGTCTTTGCAAATTTTTTCTTCGTTGTTGTTTTTTTGTTTTTTTTTAAGTAACAAACAGCACACTTTTTGCTTGCAAAATGACCGGCTATCAGTCTCAAAGGGTTGAGAATACAACAAGGTCTTCCAGGTGTATATGTTTCAACCTCGAGATATGGGTTTAATTTGTTCCAGCATTGAGCTCATATAGCGAATTTTTCATTGAAAGTAATGAAAATCCAGCTAATCCGTTCCACACCCCCAAAAATCCCATTGCCATCTCATCTTCAGTCGACAAACCTGGTGTTTTTTGGAGAAGATCCAAGTACAAATTCTTGGCCTTAGCACAAATGATAGCTTCTGACACCGAATCGCCTATCAACTGCTTCTCATTAATCTACACAGATAACAGCTTCAAAACATGTTCTGGGAGTTTTGGATGTAACAGTAACTCCTTTGGCTAAATCTGGTTTCTAATTTTTCCTTCTTCTTCAGAACAGTGCAGATTGTCGATGTTAAACAGCAGTTAGTCTTTGTGAACTCTTTCAGTCTTATGCCACACTTACGTTTATCTATGATTTCTTTCTTAATTTTAGCAGCCATGGCTGCCTTCTTTTTCTTTGCAGCACTAGCTTAAGTTACTTTTTAGGAGGCATCATGAAATGATAATTTTCACGTTAAAAGTAAAAAGGAATAAACTCACAAGCGCACAAACACTAAGATCAAAGAACACAGTGATCTGACGAGGGGATTCCTCAAGTCGAGCCAGATTGGAAAATGTGCTATGCATACCAACAGCCTGGCTCGTTGCTCATTACTCGAGTCAATGCTCATACTTAGAGATGAATTTTTCGTTTATGCTTTCCTCGTATCTCGAATTTCTTGTATATACAGGTACTCGTATTTCGAGATTCCATTGTATGAAAATTTAGGTTACAGTAATGCCATTTGTTGAACAAAACACAACCTAAAGTCTAAATATTTTAGAAAATGCATTG